ATATTAATATGAAAGCAATTTGCCATTAACTGCCAGTGGCCTCATTTGTTACACTCGGCCCTAGCGGGCCTCGAACCTCTGATTAGTCTTACACGGTCTGCAACACTCCTTGAAAGCCAGGATGGCCAAACTTCGTCTCTCATACTTCAGACATATTGTTAGGAGGAACCAGTCTCTGGAGAAGGATCTCATGTTTGGTAAGGTGGAGGGTTAGAGAAAAAAAAGAAGATCCTCAATGAGATGGATTGGCCAAGTGGTAGCATCAATGGACTCAAGCGTGGTCACAGTAGTAAGGTTGGCCCAGTATTGGGCAGTGTTTCATTCTGCTGTGCATAAGGTCGCTATGAGTCGGTAGCAACTTGATGGCACCTAACAACAACAAAAGTGGCACAGTATGTTAGGCTTCTCCTGCTAACTGAAAGATCAGCGGTTCAGGCCGCTCCATGGGAGAAAGATGAGGCAGTCTGCTTTCAAAAAGATTGACAACCTCAGAAACCCTACCGAGCAGTTCTACTCTGCTGTGTGGGGTCGCTGTGAGTCAGAATTGACTCAACAGCAGCGGGTTTTCAGTAAGATAAAGACAAAAACGGAACGAGCATTTAGGAGGCACCTCTACTATGGGCTGGTGTTTTAGCTCTGCTGTACCCTGGCCTCTCTCTAAGGGGAGAATATGTGCAGTCCGGCCCACATCTGTGAGGGATGCAGGTTTCTACTCCACCACTATCAGATTCTTCTTCATGACTGCCCTCCTCCCCTCAGCCAAATTCTGTTGTTGTTAAGTGACATTGAGTCAGTTCCGACTCACATAAACCCAGTATAGAGTTTCCAAGGTGGGTTTGAACCGCCACCTTGCGGTTCACTGCTTATCCTACAGCTGTCGACACACTTGGACTCTTGCAGTTCTCTAGTGCTGCTGTAGCAGAAATCCCACATGTGGATGGCTAACAATCAGCAGTTTTTCCTCGCACAGTTAAGGAGGCTGAAAGTTTGAATTCAGAGCGCTGACTCTGGGGAGAGGTCTTCGTCTCCTTTCAGCATCTGTAGGCCCAGCATTCCCTGGAGCTCTCCATATGTCTTGGCATCAGTCTTTTTCTGGATCTAGGAGCTTCACAGTGCAGGAACCCCAGGTCCAAAGGATGCCTCCAGCTCCACAAGTGAGGCCCCATCCAGCTCTGCTCACACTTCCAGGGGGCAGCAGAGAGCAGGCACTTGCTGGGACCGTGGTTTGCACAGGGGCCGGAGGGCTAGCATCCTGGTATTACCACTTCAAAAGGCGATGTGAGACCCTTTACAGTAAGGCCTTGGCCTGTGCCTCCTCAGCCTGAAGCTGCTTCTCTGCCACCAAAGCTGTGCACTTCCCACCTGCTTGCCCTGCCCCCCTCCCAATTCCATGCACCTGGACACTTGTGTTGAGAGCTTTGGTAGCACCATGTGTCACTAGGCTACTAACCACAAGGTCAGCAATTCAAATCCACAGCTGTGGGAGAAAGATGCAGCTTTCTGTATCTGGCTTCTGTAAAGTTTTCAGCCTCAGTAACCCTGTGCAGGGTCACTGTGAGTTGGAACCGACTCAACGGCACACAGCAGCAGTGTGACACCTATGTGATGAGGCTGTCTGTCCCCAGAAAGACTGACAGTCTCAGAAATCCTTCTCTGTCCTACAGAGTCACTGTCAGTCTGAACTGACTTGATGGCAGTCGGGTGGGGGGTGCCAGTGTGGTCAGGGAGGGTGGCCAGACAGCAGGGGACGGGGCGGGCCTTCGGGGGGTCCCCCTCATCACTAACATACTCTTGGTTTCCCCTGCATCTAGCCATCATCACAGCCTTTGACCTCTCTGACGTGCAGACCCTAGAGCACACCAGGCAAGTCCAGCTTAGCAGCCCCTCAGACCACCCCCTCCACAGCTAGCAGCATGACTGTCCCAGGAAGCTGGGATTGCCCAGCTGATGGGACCAAACCCCTGTAGAAACAGCTCCCATCAAGTCAACACCGAATCGTGGTGCCCCAATGAGTGTCGGGATAGAGCTGCACTCCCTGAAGTTGTCCATGGCTGGGTTTTCAGAGTAGATCCCCAGGCCTTTCTTCATAGGCACCTCTTGTTGTGTCTCAGTTTACCCAGATGACCACTCAAGACTCAGGATCAGCAAGGAAGCCTTTATTAGCTGGCCAGCGACTACAGCCTCCCTAAAAGCAAGAAAGACTGCAGCCCTGACCAAGTTTTTCAAAGAGTATTTATACATAGGCAGTCTGACATTATCTTACACAAACCAAGGGTAGGGTATGAGCTGTTAGGGTGGGGGCTAGGGGTACATTTGCTGGGAAAGTTATCTCTCAAGGTTAACTTTGGCTGGCTGTTCTCGAGGTTAGCCTTGGCTGGATGCAGCATCCTGTTGGGCGGGCCCACTCAGATATGAGGAATTTGTATAAGCATTTTTACAGAAGCCAAGTTTAGCCGGAGTTAAGGTGGAAGGGGATTTTGCATTCAGGGAGTTGCAGATGCTAAAAATTTTCCACTTCTTCCTGATCCTTTCTTAAAAATTGGTTACTATAGGGCAATTGGGCCTTACACTCTGGGTGGACTTGAACCCCAAGCCTTCCAGTTAGCAGCTGGGCATGCTCACCGTCATACCAGCCAGTATACCTCGTGGGTATTTGGGCATTTATGCCCAGTATCTCCCAAGCCTTGTAAGAAATGGTCCAGTGGCTAGGTGAGAAGTCCAGCTCTTTCCCCTCCCTGGCCAGTGCTCCTGCCCACTCAGTCCAGCCTAGGCCCTGAAGATACAGAACCAACATCTGTTCAGCAGCACAAGAGACACCCTCCCACCCCTCTCTGCCCCTGCCTAAGCCCTGGGAGAACCCGTCAGCACCCCTGCCCCTGGGCTCCTTGGGTGGGTGGCATTTCACAGCCCCTGTGGTCCAGGCAGTGGCTGGAGGATGCACTGCGGGAGAATGAGCCGGGTTCCAGCATCATCTTCCTGGTGGGAACCAAGAAGGACCTTCTGGTGAGCGGGGCGTGATGGGTGCTGGGCCCCAGCTGGCCACTGGGAGTGCCTCCTCCCTGTGTTTCCCGTAAGACTTGAAGGTCGTGGTGGGGGCCCTGTCAGGCCTGGTCAAGAGGTGCTCATTCCCCACAGGAGGGCCGGCTGGCATTGGGCTTACCTAGCACCTTGAATCTCGCCTAGCATTGGGGCTGCCCAGGGTGGGCCACCTGCCCCTGGGGTCTCCCTGCGGGACGGCCTAGAGTACTAGGTCAGGAAGACCACTCCTGGCTATTTCCTTCAGTCAGGGGCAGCATGTGCACAGGCTGAAACGGAGGCTGTGCGCTTGGCCAATGAGATGCAGGCCGAATTCTGGGCAGTGTCTGCCAAGACGGGTAAGCTGGGGCTGGGCTGTGGGCTACCATGGGTTCAGGGTTCCCCAGAGGCTGTGGGAGTCTCTGGTGTCCCAGCTCGGTGCCATGAGAACAGTCTCCCCTTGTCAGCAGGTTCTCGAGCACAGCCCTAATTGCCGCTTAGACTCACGTTCTAACCTACCTGTGAAGTCCTTTCCAAGGCCACAGGGAGAAAGCAGAAGGCTGGGGTCCGTCCTCTGTAACTGTCTGTCCCTGGCTTGTGATGCCATGTGACACACCCAATACCGACCGCGTAGCAGTGCTGTAATCAGTGCTGCCAACCTTTCCTCAGGTCCCTCCCCCAGGGGACATCAGTGTCCCCAAGCCCCTGTCTCCTGAGAGAATCGAGAACGAAAAAACTGTGTTTTAAGTGCAGCTGTGTAACAGCCTTCAAGTCAATTCTGACTCACATTGACCCTGTAGAACTGCCCTGTAGGCTTTCCAAGATTGTAAATATTTACAGGAGCAGACGGTCTCATCTTTCTCCCAAGGAAAAGTTGGTGGGTTTGAACTGTTGATCTCATGATTAGCAGTCCAGTGTTAATTGAGGCTGGAAGCCAGCTGGAGCCCCAGGAGATTGCCTGGAGGTGCTGTGTGGTGCAGGCACCCCTTAGCCCCTGCAGTTCACTATGGGACAGTGCTGGAAGGCCCATGTGAACTGATCACGCATGCCCCTATGCCTGGCCCGCAGCAGTGATTGCTGAAGATGGCTGTTCAATGTTGGAGCCCAGGCTCAGAGATCTGAGGAGCTGCAGGGATGTGGGCCCTTCCTCCTGCTCTCCAGGCAGTTGGTGGTTGCTGCTGGTGTGGGCACTGTGTCAGAGAGGGTGCCTTTCACCCGCTGGCACATGGCCAAGGTGGCCTTCCACTGAGGGTGGAGGTGTCTTGCATCCCTGCCCGCAGGGGAGAACGTGCAGGCGTTGTTCAGCCGCGTGGCTGCCCTGGCCTTCGAGCATTCAGTCCTGCAGGAGCTGGAGCGGAGGAGTAGTGCCCGGCCCCAGGTCGGTGACGCGGGCCTCATCAGTGAGTACCAGTCGAGGGCCCCCACCCCTTACAGGGCACTCAAGCCATTCTTTGCCTCGTCCACCCAACTCTCACTGCCACCACACCTCCTCTCCCCTCCCCCACCCTCTTCCCTTGTCTGTTCTTCCAGACCAGTTGCTCCCACACTCTGACCTGTGCCCAACTCAGCTAACCTGGGAGGGAGAGTCTAAGAGCTCAGGAGCCACCAGAAGACAACAGACCCTGCCGAGGAATCTTGGTCAACACCAACTGACTCTCCTTTCCTTGCAGGAATGGAGGGGTGTCCGTCAGAGGCCCAGGAGACTGAGAGGCCCACCAGCTTGCGGTGCTGTTAGTGGAACCTCTTTGGACCCCTCCACCTTGCCCACTAGGGCAGCCTGAACCCATAACTGTGGAAGGAGACAGGAAGCCCAGCGCACATCTTCCGATAGGGGTGAAAGCCCCCTGCCAAATTCTGTTCACCTCCTCTCAGAGATGGGTCAAGAGCCATAGGGTCCCTCTTGGCCGCCAGGGCCTCACTGCCCAGCCTGTGGGGCACCTCAGGATCACTGGAAGGCCATCCACTGGTAGGATTGTTAGATGGTCCCTCACAGCCTGAGAGGCCTTGGCCTCAGCCCCTTGTCCACATAGCTGGTGCCCATTGATCCCTCCCCAGGCCATCCTGAGGTGCCTCCAGACTCTTCTCAGCACAGGGTACTAGGAAAACCCACTTGTCACCCTGGCCACACCCTGCCTTGAGAGTTCTGTTATGCCTCAGAGCTCCAGGTCTGGGAGTCATTGAACCCCTGCCCTGAAGGGGTTGAGACTGACTCCCAGGGGAGCTTGGGAGGTGGACATGCAGGACTCCAGAGCCCCTCTGCTATTCATAAGGTTTTCAGTGACTAAATATTCAGAAGTAGTTCATCACTACTTCTTCCTAGTCTGTCTTCGTCTGAAAGCTCATCTGAAACCTGTCTACCATGGGTGACCCTGGCGGTATTTAAAATACCGATGGCATAGCTTTCAGAATCACAGCAACTCACAAGCCACCACAGTACGACAAACTGACAGACGAGTCGTGGCATGCGAAAGCTGGACAGTGAATAAAGGAAGACTGTAGAAGAATTGATGCTGTTGAATTATGGTGTTGGAGGAAAATATTGAAAGTTCCATGGGCTGCCAAAAGAACCAATAGATCCATTTTGGAAGCAGTGCAGCCAGAGTGCTCCTTGGAGGCCAGGATGGTCAAACTTCATCACTCATACTTTGGACATACTGTCAGGAGGGACCAGTCTCTGGAGAAGGATATCATGTTTGACAAGGTGGAGGATCAGAGAAAAAGAGGAAGACCCCCAACGAAATGGATTAGCCAAGTGGCAGCGTTGATGGACTCAAGCGTGGCAACAGTGAGGTTGGCTCAGGATCGGGCAGTGTTTTGTTCTGCTGTGCATAAGGTCGCTATGAGTCGGTACCAACTCGATGGCACTGAACAACAACAACAACAACAACAACAGGGGGCCCCTCTAGTGCCTCAAAATCCTCAGGGTCTGACCTTGGGTTTCCAGATGCTAACCACACATTGACCATGCCTCCCACTCAGCTTCTGCAATCAAGGCCCCGACTCCTGTGCGGCCAGCTGTGGGACCTGGCCCCCCGGTAGTTGATGCCCCCCATGGCCTCCCCACCCCTCTCTCCCAGTGGCTCTGAGACACAGCCAGCAGGACCAGCCCCGCACAGAGAAGTACCATGGGTAAGAAAACGCTGGAGTACGTCTCCTGGGACCCCTCCAGTCAGACGCGTGCCCCCTCTTCTTCCTGAGAGCCCACAGCTCCGTCTCTCTCCACCACTTCCTCCTGCATGCCCAGGACAGGCAGGCACACCCACAGCTCCCTGAGAGAGCCACCCCAGGGTGCTGTTAATTGCCCACCTGCCCCCACTCATCCTGCCCTCTACGCCACAGACAAGGAGCCCGTCAGGTGTCTCTGTCCCCTTTTGTAGACGGTGAGGTTTCTGTAGGCTGCTGTTTGCACAGTGCACAGCAAACTTCAAATGTCTGTTTCCCCTTCACTATTTACTTAGCTCGATTAAAAATTTTTTTATATAGTTTTTTGAGTTCCTGGGTGGTCTGAAATGAGCCCTAGTGACACAGGCATTGGGTTGCTAACTGAAGGTCAGTGGTTCAAACTCACCAGCCATGCCTCCAGAGAACAAAAGCTATCCTTATAAAGATTGGCAGTTTCAGGAACCCTACAGTAACACCCTACTGTTGACTCAGTAGCACTTGGGTTGGGGTGATATCACTAGATAATGTGCCTGGCTGGCAACCAAAAGGCTGAAGGTTCAAGCCTGACCAGAGGCACTTGAGAAGAGAGACCTGGCAGTTTTCTTCAGAACACTATCCAGCAAAAATCCTATGGGTACAGTTCTACCCTGACATACACAAATCATTATAAATCAGAATTGGCCCAATGGCAACTGTTTTTGTTTTGTTTTTAATAAATTTGGAATGCTTTGCAAAGAATAGCAAGCTTATTATCAACAAGCAGGACAAGTGGGTAGTTTACACCTGGTAAGCAGCAGGTTCTGCTTACTTGCCAGAGCTCCCTTGAGACCATATCCCTGAGTGTGCCACCACACACGTATATTGGCCTGTTTCATGGTGTGTTTACCGTGGGGCCATGTGCTGTCTGTATTCTGGTTTCCTTTGTGTGTTGGGACTGTGGTTCACTCCTCAGGCCTACAGCGGCCATTCATGCAGGTGCACTCAGGACTGGGGCTCTGCGAGTCTTCCCCGCAGCCCCAGGCTTTGGGATGGGGTGGGGTAGGATCATGTCCACCCAGCCCAGCCCAGGCCTGGCGAAGCCCCAGCTCATGGCTCTGGATCAAACTGGTCTTGTCCCCTCCCTGTTTGCCTTGACTGACATAGCAGTGACTACTTGGGTTTCAGTATTTGGCCCAGGCAGAGAGAAGCTGTGGGGTGCTCCATCCTCCGGCATTCTCCTCCCTCCACTGCAGCAGTGCAATGCCTTCTCGGTCCCAGGGAGCCTCAGGTGGTCACAGCAACCCTGTGGGACAGATGTCACCCCCAAACGAGTAAGCAGGCTGAGAATGGCAATGTGAAGGGACAGTCTAAGTGTCCTCTCCCCTCACTGGCAGTCCTCTGCCCTCCGCATGGGGTCTACTCCCAGTGGGGTCCTGCTTCTTGGCTCTGTAGCTCCTAGACACAAGCATCCCCCTCCAAGTCATATGGCCCCAGCACCAGCAGCCCAGGACCACCACCCAGAAAGGGGGTTATTATTAGTGAAAGTGCCTCTAACCACTCCCAGCCCCTGTATCCCCAGCAGAGTCAAGAGGCATGCCCCAAAAGGAGATCTGGTGGCACAATACTTAATGAGCTAAGATGCTAACTGAAAGGTCAGTAGTTGGAACCCGACGGCTGCTCCATAGGAGAAAGATGAGGCCGTCTGCTCCTGTAAAGATTTGTAGCCTTTACAAATGGGGTAGTTCCATTCTGTCTTACAGGGTTGCTGTCACAGTGGGTTTGGATTTGGCCCTGCTCTCTAATCCCACAGGCCAGAGCATGAAGGTGCCATGTGACAAGGACCAGAGGCTACAGGGTGGGATTTGCTGTCAGCCTCCGTCAATTTTTTACCCTAGGCTTTTCCTGGAATAGAGGAGGCTCTGGGGTCCATTTGCTAGTGAGGAGGGAGCCACTTCCAAATGGAGCTCAGTCTCTTAGGGACCGGCTGTCTTAAACTGGGAGACCAGAGACCTGGGTAACAAGCATCCAGTGGACCTGTTGGTGTTAGTGCCATTGAGCCAACTCTGACTTAAAGTGATATTGCCGTGTCCAGAATGAGACACAACCCCATCCAAAGCATCTGCATGATCGTTGGTATATTTCAGCCCACTGTCAATCCATCTCATTTTCACTGACCTTCCAACGTGACCAACAATGATGTCCTTTTCTAGCCAGCAGTTTTTCCTGATGGCATGTCCAACATAAGTGAGCCCACGGTTTGCTATCCTTTCTTCTAAAAAGCACTCTGGGTGCATTTTTTCTAAGACTGATTTGTTCATTCTTTTTTTTTTGACATCCCAATATGTTATTAAGTGCCATCAACTTGGTTGCGACCCTGTATAGGGTTTCTCAGGGGTGACTGGTAAGTTTGAACCACCAACCTTGTGGTTCAAACCGACTCTGCAGTCGAGTGCTTATCCTGTAGCACCACAAATTTGTTGTGAAGTGCCGTCGAGTCGATCCTGACCCATAGCCACCCTGTATAGGGTTTCCAAAGAGCAGCTGTTGAGCTTGAACCGCCGACCTTGCAGTTCAAATGGCTTTGCAGTCTGATGCATTAACCCACAGGGCCACACCAGGATTCCACAAATATAATCCAATGTAATTCCTCCATCTTCCTTTTTCATTGTCCAGCTTTTGCATTTAGTTGATGCAACTGAAGGTTCAGGCATACCTTAGGCCTCATACTGAGCTTTGCTCTTGAACACTTTATAAAGTGATCTTTTTCAACATGTTTGTCCAGTGCAATATGTCATTTGGTTTCTTGATGACTGCTTCCATAGTCACTGATGTGGACACAAGAATGGAATGGTTGAGGCTTTTCATTCCTTTCTCAGAGGGGAATAGAAGATCAGTTCAACACACTCACTTGTTCAGTGTTCCTTGGGCCCTGTCTCTGACCCGGCCCTCTGCATTCTCCCATACACTCATCCCACAGCTTCTCAGAGGTGACCAGTAACAACCCCATCTGTGGATGAGCTGAGGCCACACAAGGTCAGACACAGACCAGGCTGGAACTGGCAACCAGTTCTACTAAGCCAGAGCCCTGGGGCATCTTGGAGGTAGATGAGGCATCCCAGACTCATGGGGTTTACAGAAAGGAAATACCCACACGGAGGCCCAGTGTGGGGAGGGACAAGAAGCAGCATGGGGTGGTGATGACGATGGTGGAGGGGCACTTCCAGAAGGAGAATAGAGTTCAGGGAGAGTCCAGAGGAAGAAGAAGTTCAAGGAGGCCCTGCCTGACATAAGACACCCCCAGCAGCCCCACCCAGCAGTGCTGCAGCCTCCCAAGTGGCACTTCCCATCTGGCAGGTGCGTCCCTGAGGGAAGCTGATGGCAGATGGGAAGTGTGGTTCTCACACTGCCTCCTTTTCAGAGTGGAGTCTGCTGTCGTCCACCCTTCTCCTCCAGGTGCCTCCCTGAGTCCAGTGCCATGAGCCACCTGTCTGAACCAGGGCCCAGCGGTACCAGCAGAGGCACATGCACCTGACTACCATGAACCCCTCCACCTCCTCCATCACAGTGCCCTCCAGGCTCGCCCCTCTTCCTCAC